GGGATCCATACATCAGGAGTAAGCACTACATGGGTATGTAAACTTGAATTTTATGGATGGTGCAGTTTTCATCTTTTTTACATTTTGGTATTCCCAAGGAGCTCCAGTACACCTTATTCTGGTGTCGGTAGCCCAAGGCACATGTTGCAGGTAAGAGCCATCAGAGTGGCTGACCTAGAAGTGGTGCCTTTCTGTGTTGTATACTAATGTAGGACCTGGAGAATTAATATTAAAAGGTAATTATGTGCACTATTGCTCCCCTGACCACTTTTATTAACAGCACTGGTCCCTATTAATTAGTGACTACGCGGACTGCTCTTCTACTACCTGTCCATGATTTAGGCTAAATGAATGCTCTGGTCAGTGACGGTGTTGTCACAATGCTGCACAGTGATATAATGGAGAGACCCCATCAAAATTTTGCTATGTGGCCCAGAGGCAACTGGGGCACATGCTCCACATATCCTGCTTGATACCCCAGGTAATGATGTCTTGACACCAGGGGCGGACTGACAACTCATGGGGCCCTCGGGCAATAGGGGATCATGGGGCCCCTGTGTCCTTGACCAAACTCAAAAAAGCCTATGAAAAAGGTACCAGGGGCATCTCATGGTGCCCCCTACTGACCCCGGGGCCCTCGGGCAGTGCCCGAGTTTCCAAATGGTCAGTCCGCCCCTGCTTGACACCATTCTCTTCTGGTGCTCCTCACAGTTCATACACAGACCTCCAATACTAGGGCTGTGGCTCAAAGCCAAGAAGACTCTTCTAGGTTGCTCTTAGGGACTGAAGAGAGGTGAAGAGAGGAAGGAGTTTTTTGGCGTGGGATTTTTGCTCTGTGTGTGTGTGGGAGGGAGGGGGGTTGTTCTTTTGGGGAAGAGCTCTTTCCTGGGTATATGATTCTGCTGTGAGGGATTCTGGTAGGGAGGAGCTCTTTGCTAGGGAGGTGGTGATTCTGCTGTGGGGGTTTTATTAGTAGGACCTCTCTGCTGGATGGGTGATGATTTCTGCTGTGGGGGGGAGATGTTTTCTTTGCACAGTATTTGCACAGGCAGTTTTGGGGGGTTAAGTGGCAGTGGAAGGGCAAATCATAAAGTGAAAAGAATGTTCTGTGTAATGTAAATTTTCAATTTTAAAGACATTGTGAACCTTCCTACCTGCACCTTGTGTTTTTTTCACCCGCATAAGTTCATTGATCATGTAGTTTCATTTGCTGCCCTGTGTGCACCACTTATAATTTAAATCTTCCCATTCTGGTGTCAGCAGTCTCTGTTTGTGTTCAGATATGAAGCATGTGACATGGTACTGCACAGGTTAATGCATAAACTTTGTATTTTGAGGCCTGGGAATAGGGACAAGCTAGGTAAATGAATACATGGAAATAAGGGAATCGATCATCCATGCCGCTACACAGGGCTGTGGATAAGGGGGTACCACTAGTGCTCCTGTATGGGGCCCAGGCAAGCAAGGGGGACCAGGCAACTAGGTGAATCGGATGTGGGCAGGGATGGTGATCAGCACAGCATGGAGGGCAGTTACTGGAACCGATCCCCTGTATGACTCTCTCTGCAGCAGCTTAAAGCTGCCATTTTCTTCTCTCCCTCCCACTGGCCCTCAGCTACTGTAGAGAGAGCCATACAGGGGTTCGGTTCCAGTAATTGCCCCCCCCGCTGCACCCATCTTCCTCCCTGTGCACCATACATTTCCCCCTGCTGCCCCAGCCCCCCTGTGTGCCCCCCCTCCCCCACAGTGCTGCCGGCTTCTCTCCTGTCCTTCTCACCGCCAGATGCAAGCACACAATTGGATCGTTTAGGTTGGAAAGTGGGAGAGGGGTCCGGTAAATATGTCACATTTGCCAGCCCTTTCCTTTCCTGAATGAACACAATGAGTGATCAGTACCAATCACTAACTGTGTCCATTCATAACTGAAGCATAGTGTTTCTTTGGGGGGGGGCCCACGTTGGCTGTATGGGGCCCCGTGGTTTCTAACAGCAGCCCTGCCACTATAAACTGCAGTCACAACATGTGAGCCCATCTGGGTGAGGCAAACAAATGACTAGGGGGAATATAACTACATGAACACCTACTAATACAAAGCCCCAAGCAGCACTCTGTGTGTATCACTGTGTGTATCAGCCATGTTCAAAAGTAAAAGCACAATCTTCAGCTACAGTCCCTGTCCATTGTTTCCCCTACAATTAAGCCCGATTAGGGTGAAACGCATCAGAGGGGCATGGTCAATGGGCAGGGACTGTCGCTGAAACTTGTGCTTTCGTTTTGGAACAGGTAGCTATCTGCCAAGTATTAAAGGAGAAGTACAGCCAAAGCTCTTTGCAGTTCCTTCTGCACTCCTGTGACCAGTTTTCAGCTGACAGCCGGCTGAAGTCCGCTATCAGCTGATGTCACTCAGCCGGTCCAGGCTGGGGAAAGATCCTGACTTTAAAGTTGGGATCCACCCCAGAGCCTGGAGCAGCACCTGGCTCAGCCTCCCAGTGAGCTGCTGAGAGCCTGAGCCAGCTGCTCCCTCCCCCTCCACAGCCCAGCACTCCAGTGAGCACAGGGGGTGGGGTGGAGTGGGGAGCAGAGAGCGGTGACTGACAGTCACCGCTCTCTGCTCACAGCAGTGGTGAGAACTCAAACTCATGTGATTGCTGAGTTCTCACCCTTAAGTATGCAGCATACTTAGGAAAGTATGATTTTGGGGAAAAAACAAACCCATACTTCTCTTTTAAACCAATACCCGTTAAAAACAAACAAAAATAAATCAATAAAGCGTACAATGCCTTTAATTATGTCCATAGGTTCACTTTAGGAGTATTGGAAGTGAAACCTTCCCAGCCCAAACTTCCCCTTTAGAATAACCTGATGTCACTTATAGTTTAAAAATATGAATGAAAAGGAAATGGCTGTACACCACTTCAAGTTTGTTAGAGTTTTAGTACTTTTTTTTTATTATAAATGTGTGCAATGTACTATTTTATATGTATATTGTTGGGTACATTTTGACATTTTATTTTATAATTATAATGAAATTGGTCCATTTTCAGCTTTAACTCCAGTTCAACCCCTTTGCAGTTGTGAGCAGCTTTCCTCATTGGTGCTGTAGTAAGATCTGACAGTGGGTAACTGGATGGATGTCCTTGTGTTGTTTAGATAAGTTTTTGTGTTAGTTAAAAATTGTACTTTTAGCATGGAGCCTTCATTTTTATGAAATTACAAAAATGCCAAGGACTGAATTTCTGGGTAGGAAACATAGGCCATGACCAAGGGTGGCTTTGAGCTGCCCTGTTCACCTTGCCACCCTTGGTCAAGGCCTATGTTGGCTTTGTGCTGCCCACTCCACCTTACCACCCTTGGTCAAGGCCTATGTTGGCTTTGTGCTGCCCTATCCACCTTACCACCCTTGGTCAAGGCCTATGTTGGCTTTGTGCTGCCCACTCCACCTTACCACCCTTGGTCAAGGCCTATGTTGGCTTTGTGCTGCCCTGTCCACCTTGCCACTCTTGGTCAAGGCCTATGTTGGCTTTGTGCTGCCCTGTCCACCTTACCACCCTTGGTCAAGGCCTATGTTGGCTTTGTGCTGCCCAGTCCAACTTACCACCCTTGGTCAAGGCCTATGTTGGCTTTGTGCTGCCCACTCCACCTTACCACCCTTGGTCAAGGCCTATGTTGGCTTTGTGCTGCCCAGTCCACCTTGCCACCCTTGGTCAAGGCCTATGTTGGCTTTGAGCTGCCCTATCCACCTTACCACCCTTGGTCAAGGCCTATGTTGGCTTTGTGCTGCCCAGTCCACCTTGCCACCCTTGGTCAAGGCCTATGTTGGCTTTGTGCTGCCCTGTCCACCTTGCCACCCTTGGTCAAGGCCTATGTTGGCTTTGTGCTGCCCTGTCCACCTTGCCACCCTTGGTCAAGGCCTATGTTGGCTTTGTGCTGCCCTGTCCACCTTGCCACCCTTGGTCAAGGCCTATGTTGGCTTTGTGCTGCCCTGTCCACCTTGCCACCCTTGGTCAAGGCCTATGTTGGCTTTGTGCTGCCCTGTCCACCTTGCCACCCTTGGTCAAGGCCTATGTTGGCTTTGTGCTGCCCTGTCCACCTTGCCACCCTTGGTTAAGGCCTATGTTGGTTACCCAGAAATCCAGTCCTTGGCATTTTTGGAATGGGTATTTTTAACTGGGTATGTACAGTACATATATGCAAATTATCTTGTGGACCCAAAAAAATCCATAAAAAAAGGGAACTACAAAGGCTTTGTACTGAGGACATTTGCACTGAGTACAAAAGGCACAATTAAGATTCATAAAACATACAAAATTTTATTAATTACAACTGTAAAACTGTATCCCACAATCCACATATATAATCACAAAATTACATAAAAGAAACTGCACCAAAAAGTGCTAAAAACTTTTATACAAAGTCCAGCATGATGCTTGTGCATTCTCCAGTATTCTAAAGTCCAACGTGTTTCACAGCTTGAGCCTCTGCTTCTTCAGGGACCGTGTGCGAGTATCTAAAGAGCTAAACATATTGCTGGTACAATCACATTTTTACAAACTGTCATAATTTTACACCATATACCCTCCAAAAAGCTTACCACAATGATTACAGGTCTATTGAGCATGCAATCCATCTCAGGGCACTATAAGGTCACTGCCAGCAAAAAAACACATCCACTTAACCCCCAACCTACATAGATAAGTAAGCCGCATTTGAAAAGGACACACAGCATGTAGTTTCATCCAAAAATCAACATGTGTTTATATTTCACAGAAGAAAGGAATAAATATTGTACAAACTCAATGGAAAATATTCCAATATATGGAGTAGGCTGCATTTTCAAAAATGACACACAGCATGCAGCTTTCTATCCCAAAAATCAGCATTGGAGTATATATATATATATATTTCATAAAAAAAACTGAAGAAATATTGTACAGACTCCATAGACATTATTTAAACGCAGGGCCAAGTGTAGCCTATCTGATGCAGAGGTGTAATAAAAAATGTCAGGGGGGTAGAGGATGGGAGGACAGCAGGTAGTATACCAGTGCAGGGCAGAGGATAGGGGTCAGCAGAGATGAGAATGGGGGTCATAGGGGGGAGGAAATGGTACAGCAGGACTGAGGATGAGGTCACTGTTGGCAGAGCAGAGGACAGGGGTCACAGCTGGCAGAGCAGAGGACAGGGGTCACAGCTGGCAGGGCAGAGGACAGGGGTCACTGCTGGCATGGCAGGGCACAGGGGTTGATGCTGGCACGGCAGGGCACAGGGGTTGCTGCTGGCACGGCAGGGCACAGGGGTCGCTGCTGGCACGGCAGAGGACAGAGGTCATTGCTGGCAGGGCAGAGGACAGACATCATTGCTGGCAGGGCAGAAGACAGGTGTCACTACTGACAGGGTAGAAGACAGAGGTCACTGCTGGCAGGGCAGAGGACAGGGGTCACTGCTGGCAGGGCAGAGGACAGGGGGCACTGCTGGCAGGGCAGAGGACAGGGGGCACTGCTGGCAGAGCAGAGGACAGGGGTCACTGCTGGCAGAGCAGAGGACAGGGGTCACTGCTAGATTAGTAGAGTGGCAGGCTAGGGCAGGAATGTATTTAAAATTTTTGCTGCCCTAGGCAACACAAAAAATCTTGCGCACACACCCCTCCGCTGCTCACCAGCCCCCCACCATGACCTCCCCACACACCACAGCTATCCTCTGACTCCGCACCCACTATGATGGAATGTATTGGTGACAATAGGCAGTCCATGTGATCAGCGCTCCCATAGACGATCATTGTTCATGGGATTACCTGGTACTCCAGTTCCAGGGTAGTCCCCCATCTTCATAGGCTGTAAGAAGCACTCCCCCTGTCCGGCAGGCAGGGTGAAGGTGAAGTCTCCATCCACCATCTGGGTGTGGGTCAGTCTGTGCTGTACACTCATAATCCTTTCTTCGGGGGGGGCATTCCCCTCACTCTGCTCTGCTGGCCAGCCCCGGTACCCAGGAGAATCAGCGCCCCTTCTTCCGGTGGGTGGAAAAATGCCTGAAAAATGCCGCCGAAGGCAAATGCCTTGTTTGCCTTGCGGAATATACAGTATGCCCCTACATTCCTCCTCTTACCTTCTTCAGCTGCGGGTTCAGCCTGAGTGAAGAAGTCTGAGTGGAGGTATGGAGGGGACAGCTACACCCCTCAGCCCTGCTTATCAACTCCAGAGATATTGAAGATCCCTGAGGGACAACCTCACATAATTAGAGGACAGGGGAGTGTTACAGGCAGCCTCCTCCACCTTGCTGGGACCCCTGCTACCCCATTCATCAACTTAGTAGAGCAGTATATATATTACAGAGTTGATTTACTAAAACTGGTGTAATATCTGGTGTAGCAATGCATGGCAGCCAATCAGCTTCTTCAATTAGGCTTTGACAAATAAAAACCCGGAAGCTGACTGGTTTTTAGAAACCAAAAGCTTAGGCACAGCTGCACCAGATTTTGCACTCTCCAGTTTTAGTAAATCAACCCTAATGTGTATAAAGCTGCAAGGTCAGGGAAAGTACAGCTGTCTGCAGTATGGTTCAATGGCCAGGTACAGTGTCCAGGGTGGAGAGGGCAGAAGTTGGCTTTGGGAAGGGGGGGGGGGTGCAACTGATTTTTGGAGGGGCACAGCCCACCCCAGGACCTTTCCTAGATCCAGCCATGTTTAAACACTTGGTGTAGGCTGCATTTTCAGAAAGCACACACCATGCTGTTTTCAACCAAAAATCAACACTAGTGTGTATATATATCACAGAAAAAAATGTATAGTCTCCATAGAAAGTGTATACTGTATACACAAAAAAAAAAAAAAGAAAAAAAAAACAGTTATTATACAGACTCCATAGACAGTATTTAAACACTTTGAGGAAGCCCCGTATTTAAAAGGACACAGCATACAGCATTTCATCCAAAAATCAATACATTTATGTATTATTATTATTACTACGAGTTTATATAGCGCCAAAGGGTTTGCTCAGCGCTGTACAATAGGGGGGGACAATACATGGCACAGTACAACAAAGACAGACAGCGTACGAGGGGTAAGAGGGCCCTACTCTTAATTTATGTATATATTTTACAGCAGAGGGAGAAATATAGTCCATAGGTAGTATTTAAACACTTGGAGTAAGACACATTTTTCAAAAGGACACTTAGCATGCAGCTTTTCATCCCTAAATCCACATTAGAAATTATATATTTTACAGAAAAAAAAAAGAATAAATAGAGAACATACTCCATAGACAGTAAACACTTGAAGTAAAGTATATTTGGAATGTTGTGCGCGGAAGCCAGACTGTAAGGGATCGAGAAGGCTGTTGTCAGAGGGGTAGCAACTCATAAGGTTGTGGACAAGGTGTTCAAGAAGCTTGGAGGCAAACGGGAGCAGGGAGAAGGGTCTTAAGCTTTTTAAATAGGTGGGCTCCGGCGAGGGTTTTTTAAGCATGGGGTAACCAGTACATGTTGGAGCTGGGAGGGAAAGGTGCTGGTGGAGAGGGAGAGGTTGAAGATGTGGATTAGAGAGTTTAGGATAGGACAGGAAGAGGGCTGGAGTAATTGTGAGGGGAAATTGTCCAGCTGACAAGTAGTGAGATGGGCCTCAGAAAGGGGTTTGGCAACTTCTCCAGTAGTAACCGGGTTGAAGGAGGAAATTATTGAGTGCGGTGTTGGACCTGGTATGTTGGTTGGAGGAGAAAGCTGGACACTGGAAAACTCATCACAAACTGTGTTGATCTTGTTTTTGAAATGACTAGCAATCTCCTGGGCAGTAAGTAAGTTACTGTGTGGAGGCAGTGGGGGATTGGGGGTGAAGTAAAGAATTAAGGGTAGAAAAGAGTCAATGAGGACTGAATGAGAAGGTTTTGACGAGAGTGGTGTAGTAGGCTTTATTAGCAGTGTGGAGGCAATTTGAGAAGGGCTGATTTGTAGAAGGTGAAGACTTGCAGAAAGTTAGATTTATGATGTGCTAACTCAAAAGCACGGCTGCATCTCTTGAGACTTCACCTATCATCTGTTTGCCAGGGTTGTAGCAGATGAGTTCTGGTTCCGCATGTAGAGAGAGGAGCAAATGTTTCCAGGGAGGATAATAGTAAGTTGTTGTAGACAGAAGTGGTTAGGTCTGGGCAGGCCAGGGCTGTGATTTTGTTATGAAGGCAATCAATAGCAGGATGAAGAAGGGAAGGGTTGAGGTTGAGAGGGTTTCTATGGATAACTGTTTGCTGGTTGGAGGCATGAGAGGTTGGAGACAGGCACTGTGAAACTGATAAGGTTGTGACAGGAGAAAGGAAAAAGGAGATGAGAGGAAAAAGGGGTGTTAGAGAGCTTGCCAGGAGTGCAGAGGTGGGAGTAAACAAGGATGGAGGTGTTGCCATTGGAGGGAGTGGAGGTTTGTATCCATTGTGTTAAGATAATAGAGAAGGGTAGGCCGAGTAGTTGAGAAGTGTCTCAGGTGTTAACATTGACTGGAATGTTAGTCACCAAGGATGATGGTGAGTACTTCAGAGGAGAGAAAGTAAGATAGCCATGCAAAGAAGTTGTCAAGAAAGGGAGACAATGGCATGGTTTGTCTCATCCATAACTGATACAGAACATCTGCAAGAGAACGTGTTCTTTTGAAAAGCAACAGACTTACTGGCTGGATCACTGGATAAAAATAGAAAAAAGAAAGCCTAAAAAAATATGAATGAAGCCATGACATCTAAGAATTGGCAAGCTGCAATAAAATAATTGTTTGCTTTTGGGTTTAATACTGCTTTGAGGGTATTGTCACAGGCCTCTGACCCGGGAAAACCCCTACTTGATCAATCAGCATTGGTAAGAGTGGCTGTTGTTCAAATGCAATTATTTTTGCATCTATTTTAGCTTGATGCTAAAAAAGGTAAATAGGCGGATAACTAAAGCAATGAGAAGGATCTTTACCTGACTTTGGAATCAAGGAAATAATGGCTACCAAGGTCCAAAATAAAGGAAATAGGCAAACAACGAGAGCTATGAGAAGGATCTTTATCTGACTTTGGAATCAGGGAAATATTGGCTACTAGGGTCTGAAGCATGAATGGAATGTCTGCCGAGACTGAATTATAGACCTTGAGCAATAAAAGAAGAAAATGCTTCTTAAATGTCTTATGCAATTTAGGGTTGAATCCTTCAGGACCATGACTCTTACCTGCAGGGTGGATTCAATAGCAGCTAAAAGTTAATCTTCTGCAAATGAATTGTCAAGAGTCTTCCTGGTAAAATCATCTAAAATGGGCAATGCAGTTTCTACTATATACAAAATTTAGATTTTAACGTGTAAGAAAAACATTTTAAAAATTGCCCAGACACAAAGTACTTTAAATAACGAATCCACTCTTAGTGAATTGAACAGAATACATTTTCTCTATTGACTCTTCTTTGTGTTCAGGGGTCAACCTTTCTTCTACCCTTGAGCGATAATCTTTTTTCCAGCGCAGGAAGCTGTAGACGTATTTCTGACACTCGGAGGATGCAAAATAATAGATAAGAGGATCCAGACTACAGTTTATACTGCTGATACTGGAAGAGAGGATGTAAGCAATATACAGCGAGAAATCATAATTATCAATCACCCGCGTGTAGTGAATTAAATAAATAACATTGGTGGGGCCAAAACAAAGGACAAACACACTCAGCACAACCACGGTGAGGCGGATAGCTCGGGATCTCTTATGTGTGCGATTAAATTTTGATCTGCTGAGACTGCGGATGATTCCAATGTAACAGAAAGTTGTAATGAATAATGGTAAGAAATTAAAAAGTGAGAAAACAGTGCAGAAGTACTGAAAATTGAAAAAGAAATAAGCCCCAAAGTGCTGAATATCATGACACATCGTGTTATCCAGCATAGGAAATAACCTGCTTTGTTCTCTTATGAGAAGAGGCACAGTGCTGGCCAATGAGATGACCCAGATGACACCACACACCAGCCAGGCTCGGTTTACTTTGCGCCAGGAGAGAGACCACACAGGGTAGACTACGGCCAGGAAACGGTCCACGCTGATACTTGTCATGAGCAGGACGGAGCAGTACATGTTACAGTAAAATGCACTTGTAACAAAGCGACACATTCCTTCTCCAATGAGCCAGTTAGATCCCAAGAATCGATAGACAATATAAAAAGGCAGGACGCTAATGAGGAGGACATCTGCTATGGCGAGGTTCAGCATGTAGACCACTGCCGGCTTCCTGACCTTCATCTTCACCAAGAATATGACGATCGCCATGATGTTGAGAGGAAGAGCCACAAGGAACACAACAGTGTAGATGGATGGGGCAAGAATGGTGACACTCCAATGTTTGCTGGAAATACTTATTGCGTGATAAATTGCTGCACGGCTATCTGGAAAGTAAAAACATAACATTAACATTTAAAAAATGAACCAGATACATTGACCTTTTATTTAAAACAGAGCTAAAACTTGTATAAAACTGAAATGAATGACCAATACAGGTCTGGTATGGATTTTATGGGATATCTTTGTGCAAAAGAACAGAAAATGCACAAATTTCTAAAAATCCAAACCTTCGATACGATTGCACTCGTCGATTTTGATGGAAATTTGGATGCTTTGTTCCCAAATTTCTATTTTTGTATCATGATGCATATGTTTTGGACTGCTGGTCTTCCTTTGTATACAGGATTTTGCCCCAACTCTTGAACATTTTTTGGCCTGCTGTCACATAGCACCAATGAAACCATATTTAAAAAAGAGCTCACCTTGGGAGAAGTAGTGGGTGTGATTTAATGGGTTTACTTTCACCATGGTTGCTTTTAAAGTCAAAACCTAACTAAGCCTAAATCTGTTACCTCCCCCCATTATAAGCCTATCCAGTCTACCCTGTAAAAGGAGAGATGCCTATACTTACCTATTCTGCAGTCATTCTGGTCCTGTCACATGACCGGCTCCCCGCAGCAGCTTCAGTATAGAGGAGGGACAGCCAATAATGGATGCCCCAATGTAAGCATATGGATGACATCATCACCTAGGATCTGCAGCCATTGTCGGTGATCTCTTCTCTACACTGAAGCCGGCCACTGGAGAGATCATGTGACCAGACCAGAGTGTCTCAGCATACAGTAGATAATTATAGGCATCTTTCCTTCTACAGGGTAGATAGAATGTGCTTAGAATGGGGTGGGAGTAGATTTAAGTGTAGGTAGCAGGGGCGGACTGACCATTTGGAAACTCAGGCACTGCCCGAGGGCCCGGGGTCAGTAGGGGGCCCCATGAGATGCCCCTGGTACCTTTTTCATAGGCTTTTTTGAGTTTTGGCAAGGACACAGGGGCTCCATGATACCCTATTGCCCGGGGGCCCCATGAGTTGTCAGTCCGCCCCTGGTAGTTAGGTTTTGACTTCTTGGCCTTCCACCTTAACCCCTTGCCTGTCGGGCACTTTTACCCCCTTCCTGCCCAGGCCAGTTTTCAGCTTTCAGTGCTGTCGCACTTTGAATGACTATTGTGCGGTCATGCAACACTATAACCAAACAAAATTTTTATCATTTTTTTTAGACATATATCACTTTATTTTGATGGTATTTAATCACCACTGAGTTTTTGAATTTTTTGCTACAAACAAAAGAAGTGCAAACATTTTGGGGAGAAAAAGTTTTTCTTAGTTTCTGTTATAAAATTTAGTAAATAAGTAATTTTTCTGCTTCACTGATGTGCGCTAATGAGGCTTCATTGATAGGTGACAGTGATGGGCACTGATAGGAAGCACTGACGGGCACTGATAGGTGGCACTGACCAGCACTGATAGGCGGCATTGATAGGAAGCACTGAAGGGCACTGACAGGTATCACTGATGGGCACTGATAGGCGGCAATGATAGGGGTAATGATGGGCACTGATACGCGGCATTGATGGGCAATGATAGGCTGCACTGATTGGCACTGATAGGTGGCACTGATGGGTGGCACTGATTGGTACTAATAGACTTCACTGATGTGGAGGCACTGATAGGCATCATTGATGGGTATTGACAGGCATCACTGATGGGCACTGATAGGCATCATTGATGCACACTGAGAGGCATCACTGATGGGCACTGAAAGGCAGCATTGATGGGCACTGATGGGGCTGTACTAATAATCAGTGTAGATCTCCGCTCTGAGGATTGCCACTTTTCGGCTCTCCTCACGTGCTGTCAGTGTGAGCAGAGGACTGCCGATAACCGGCATCTCCTGTTTACATGCGATCAGAGAGCCTACGTCATTGGCTCTTCACTGTGATCAGTGATCTGCTGTGTCCAAGAGACACAGCGAACCACCAATCGCCGGGGCACACATGTGCAGCTAGAGTCAGAGGACAACATATGACATCCACCCAGAACAAGATTTCTCTCGCCCATCCATCATTTCCTAATACGGTGAGCTGGTTAAATACTGTATGTTTTAATGGTCTTAAATGGTGGACAAAAGACGTGCATTTTGTTTCGTAACAAATAGATTGTCAGATAAAAATTTTATTTTCAGAGATTCAGATGTATCCAAATCTCCAAATAGTAACAAATGTCAACAAATCTGACTTCACATGATGCAATAGTAGTTCGGAATTATAGGGAAATTAATAAAATTTTCGAATTTGTTCGATATTTCGGATTCCAGTAAATTTGTGATTTAAATTTAGTTTGTAATTGTCACAGTCAGTCAGTTCTCAGTTCTACAGTCTAATGCAAGTCTTAGGTTTGAAAACTTTGGGGCCACCGAATTTTGCATTATATTTATTCAGTTGCATCTGAAAATATTGAATAGTTTTGATATATTGTATGAATAATGAATCCACCCGAAATATCAAAACCAAAAACGAATGTATAGCAATCTTCAGAAAAAACGGCAACATTTTTCGAACCCACCCAGACCAACAAATATATGAACCAAATGCCGAAGATATGTTCCAAAAATAAATCAGTTCAGCATATGATACAGTTCCACATAATGATCTAATACAAAAGTTGTACAAGCTAGGACTCGGCCCTTGGGTGGTTCAGTGGATATGCAGCTGGTTAAAGGATAGATACCAGGGTATGGTTGTAAAAATGGAGCTCACTCAGAACAGAAGCCAGTCACTGGTGGTGTACACAAGGCTCTGTACCAGGTCCTGTTCTATTCAGTCTATATGTAAGTGATATAACTAAAGGCTTGTTGGGTAAGGTATGTATTTTTTTGCTGATGACACAAAGGCGTGTAATAGGTTTGATATCCCAGGAGGTGTCTGTAACATGGAACAGGATTTAGCATTGCAGGAAGATTGGTCAAGAAAGTGGAAATTGTAGTTCAATGTTTATAAATGTAAAATAATTCACCTAGGGAAAAATAATCCCTTGAGAGAGTAGAACATTGGGGGTACAGTGTTGGCCAGCACTTCGGAGAAAAAGGACTTGGGGGTACTTATTTCAGATGATTGCAAAATGAGCAAACAGTGTGGCCAGGCGCTGGGGAAAGTGAATAGAATTCTAGGATGTATCACTAGAAGGGTCACCAGAAGGAGGAAGGAGGTCCTGATTCCTCTATATACAGGTGAAACTCAAAAAATTAGAATATGGTGCAAAAGTTCATTTATTTCAGTAATGCAACTTAAAAGGTGAAACTAATATATGAGATAGACTCATTACATGCAAAGCAAGATAGTTCAAGCCGTGATTTGTCATCATTGTGATTATTATGGCTTACAGCTCATGAAAACCCCAAATCCACAATCTCAGAAAATGAGAATATTGTGAAAAGGTGGAATAATCTCGGCTCAAAGTGTCCCACTCTAATCAGCTCATTCAGCCATTAAAACATGCAAAGGGTTCCTGAGCCTTTAAATGGTCTCTCAGTCTGGTTCATTAGGAATCACAATCATGGGAAAGACTGCTGACCTGACAGTTGTGCAGAAAACCGTCATTGACACCCTCCATAAGGAGGGAAAGCCTCAAAAGGGAATTGCAAAAGAAGTTGGATGTTCCCAAAGTGCTGTATCAAAGCACATTAATAGAAAGTTATGTGGAAGAGAAAAGTGTGGAAGAAAAAGGTGCACAAGCAGAAGGGATGACCGCAGCCTGGAGAGGATGGTCAAGAAAAGGCCATTCAAAAGTGTTGGGGACTTTCACAAGGAGTGGACTGAGGCTGGAGTCAGTGCATCAAGAGCCACCACACACAGACGGATCCTGGACATGGGCTTCAAATGTCGTATTCCTCTTGTCAAGCCACTCCTGAACAACAAACAACGTCAGAAGCGTCTTACCTGGGCTAATGAAAAACAGACCTGGTCTGCTGCTCAGTGGTCCAAAGTCCTCTTTTCTGATGAGAGCAACTTTTGCATCTCATTTGGAAACCAAGGACCCAGAGTATGGAGGAAGAATGGTGAGGCGCACACTGCAAGATGCTTGAAGTCCAGTGTGAAGTTTCCACAGTCTGTGTTGATTTGGGGAGCCATGTCATCTGCTGATGTTGGTCCACTGTGCTTCATTAAGTCCAGGGTCAAGGCAGCCGTCTACCAGGAGATTTTGGAGCACTTCATGCTTCCTTCCGCAGAAGAGCTTTATGGGGATGCTGACTTCATTTTCCAGAAGGACTTGGCACCTCCCACACTGCCAAAAGCACCAAAACCTGTTTCAATGACCGTGGGATTACTGTGCTTGATTGGCCAGCAAACTCTCCTGACCTGAACCCCATAGAGAATCTATGGGGCATTGCCAAAAGAAAGATGAGAGACATGAGACCGAACAATGCAGAAGAGCTGAAGGCCGCTATTGAAGCATCCTGGTCTTCCATAACACCTCAGCAGTGCCACAGGCTGATAGCTTCCATGCCACACCGCATTGAGGCAGTAATTGCTGCAAAAGGGGCCCAAACCAAGTACTGAGTACATATGCAGCTTCTGCTTTTCAGAGGTCCGATATTGTTCTATGTACAATCCTTGTTTTATTGATTGCATGGAATATTCTCATTTTCTGAGATTGTGGATTTGGGGTTTTCATGAGCTGTAAGCCATAATCATCACAATGATGACAAATCACGGTTTGAACTATCTTACTTTGCATGTAATGAGTCTCATATATTAGTTTCACCTTTTAAGTTGCTGCACTGAAATAAATGAACTTTTGCACGATATTCTAATTTTTCGAGTTTCACCTGTAGATCTTTATATCACTAGAGGAGTCACCAGCAGGAGGAAGGAGGTCCTGATTCCTCTATTCAGATCTTTATATCACTAGAGGGGTCACCAGCAGGAGGAAG